CCTTCGAGTGATGTCCGTCCACTATCAGCACGACGTCCACTGAAAGCAAGCTCCAAAGCAGCTGAAACAAATCCCGATAAAATAATTCCTAACCTGAAAGAACCTGCATTCAGTGGGCCCATACACGGACACGATGAGCAAGCTCAGACGTTTCAGTCAGTTGAAACTGGTACATGCAAAACCATACGGCAAAAATTCACACAATCCACTGTTGAACAAGCATCAGTCTAATACTGCACGCTCAGATCTCGAGCTCAAAGAGATCCTGACCTCAGCCTGTCCAGGAGCACTAGATACCGAATCATCAGACAGTAGGAAGGTGAAACTTGAGACTGAGTTTGTGTCCAGTGTGAGCAATGCAATCGCAGGAGTGTAATCTTGTGTTCTCGTTTTGGTGACAATGCATAGATCCATTTTGAAAGTTTCAACATTTCCATCCAGGACAGAATTTTACCCTATCTGACAGAGGGGTAGAATGTTGTAGGCCACCAAATGAAGTGAACGCGTGAACCTGAGAACTGTGTTTATCTATGCCTTAGTCTTGAACGATTGTTTCAAAGGAGCCGCAATCAAGGGTTGTGTTCTCCGTCGATCTAAGTAATGTCCTTTACACAGTGAATTATTTGTACATTCATGTGAAAATAGAGTCGCATAAAGGATTTTCTTCGGAGACCCTTACCGGAGCCCTTGACTTAGCGATCTCACAAACAAAGATGGAAGGCGCTAACCCAACATGGGAACTTGACCGAAACACGAGTAAAGCCCGGTGGCAGGGTGTTCGACTCGCAATCCTCCATCTTGGTATCAAATCTCAGTTAGGTCTCCGCAGTTGTGAATTGTTGACGATCGTCAGCGAGGTCGAAACAGCAGTGCAGTGCTTTCTTGGTTTTCTAAGTTGAGTTGAGTGTTCTCAATGCACGATGAATCATTTCATACAACGAATAATTATGCCACCACTTGAAATGATCCAGTCACCAGACTCCTACTTTTTACGTGACTTGATGACTTCGTTTAACATGGGCTGTCAACGGAAATGACATTCTTCATCGAAGTAAACGGCTCTGCGGTAAAGTTGTAACCGTTCAACGTCAGTGACGAAAGGATGCTCTATGTTGTAGGTCGTATATTGAAAGACAACACGTATATTACCGGCTCTTAACTGTTCGGCTTGCAGTCTTTCATCTCGCCATCTAATCTCAGTTGGGACTGGTTCAAAGTGAGCTGCTGCTGATTCCTAACGAAAGGAAAACAGCTGTTTAGTATTTCCAGTGTTTTCATGAGTGATACATTCGAAATGTTAAGAACGCCAAATTACTGAGCAATCTGAGGCACCCAGAGTCGTCAAATTTTCGGATATCCAGTGCTTTCAAATATACCTGAGAGGTTGAAATTCTCAACTTACTTTCAACGTCCGTCAGTGAGGAAAATGAGTTGCAAACAGCAAAGTGAATAAAAAAAGTCGAACATGCTTGCACGCAACTCTCCCGTAATGGTTACTGGGACAGTTGGAAGGCAGTGAGGCCAATTATTCGACTCAACCAGTGGTCCAGTATGATTACCGATTCAGTGTTAGAAACTAGTAAAGGACGAAAACAGCAAATGACACTGATTCCTTTGGAGTCTATGAGAAACTAACCAAGAATAAATGTGATACGACCAGGGTTTCCGATGAGTTGCTACGAAGGTCGTATGCTAAATCTGATTGCTTTTCATCAGAGGGACAGACGAAGACATTCCTCTCGGATAACATCATCTGCAGTCAAAACCTGGTTGGTGCTTTTGTTATCTGTAGGATAAATAACGATTCAAATCGCTGGATCGGATGCGCTAACATGGGCATTATGTACAAGATGTTTACCAATGACCGGAACCACCTTGAGTTTTGTATTTCTATTTTGACTACTGGTGACGTTAGCAGTAGCTCGTTTTTCGGTATTTCCTGTGTCAGCTGAAAAAGGTCGTCAGATTGTATGTACGAAATTAGGATTAACGAAATTGGTATTCACTAATAATCGATTCAAAAATGCGAGTTTCAACCAGAATGGGTTTCAGAAAGCAGACTCATTTCCACGGCCCTGTTAGTAGTATTTCCATGAATGTGCGCTCACTTATCGTGATAAAGTTGGATCACCCAAGTCCGCCCCGAATTAGCACTTCTGATCATAGTTCTGTACATCCGTAGCCCAAAGTTTATTGTAAAAGCAATTTTTTTAACAAACTCCCCGCACGTATTGCTAACTGTTTCCATTGATGCTTGCACCCTTGAGAGTCTAGATAAACTTAGGACTTTTGTTGGTTCACCTGCGTGATCGATTGTGAATCTGTCCGGAGGAAGGTTACTCGCAGTAAAGGGAATCCTGCATGAGCATATACATTTAAGACAAGGTTGCGTTATTCGTTACCTAAAATTTATGTGACTGCACAACATCTTCAAGTCCTGTGACTGTTAGAGCTGTAAAACAAATATCCACATATAGTCATAATTTTCTTCAGCTGTAACTGAATGAACCATGAAGTACACTGAAAACGCTTACTAATCATGCCACAAATCACAGGTTGAAGACAGTGGAACACTTGTTTCATATCGGGCTACTTAACCAGTAAAATGACTAGAAAATGTATCACATAGATATTTTTTGTGCCGTTTGTTATTAGATTGAGAGAGTTAAGATAAATAATAAGGTTGTTTTAGTCCAGAAAAGGATCAGTTGATCGTTCTCTGACCATCACCGACACGAGGCACACTTGGACTCCCCGGGAAAAAGGCAGTCACCTTAGTGGTATACCAAGCCGTCCCAACAGCTAACCTCAGAAAAAACGCCGTTTCAGTTATCGACGCTAATGATGGACGCTGTCTATCAATCTGACTAGTTCATCCAGTCATTCTGGCTCAGCGAGCCGCAGACACACCTGGGCATGCTAGCCTAAGCCGTGTGCATGATTCAACCGCGTTTACAAATTCGAAGTTTGCGTCCATATGTGATGGTGATCCATTCAGTCTAAATGCGCATTCACAGCTGTGTGTCAGTATGCGCTCACCTCCATTAGCGGAGCAGCCATGTCATTTTTCCTCAATTCAATATTTCAATAAGCGATAATCCGATACGTCAGACCCACTGAATCAGTTGTAATTATGCGCCTTTTCTTCTTCCAGTTTCCGATACAAATCGATGAAATATAATCACCAAAAATCACCCTTTGGATGGAGTAGTCAGTCAAGACAAAGTCTGTGGATGTCGGAAGAAACACGAAGGCTGTGTAGCAGTGCCTTTATCCTTAATCACACAAAGTCATATGTGAAAAACAGAAAATCTGTCTACTCTGGTAGCTATTTTAAAATGTATTCGTAGATACATAAATGCATGTATACACACAGTTCATCAACCTAATGGAATCTCAAATAAATGCTTTCTGGCCGTGAGAGGCAGAGGCATGGATATTGGCTTGAATAAAGCTTATGCACAGTCAAGGAATCACATAAATTGTGGTTTGGGCTGAAATCAGACAGCAAACAGTAAGTAGGTGTAAACTGTGCGTGACTGTTGCAAATTGGTATTTATTTTACTGAATTTTAGACTCTTCATCGTCAATAATTTGATCATCTGACTCAAGTAGAACAGCCTCTCCATTCACATTTTCCTGAGGCATTAGTGTAAAACTGGGTTTGGCACCATATCGTTCCATTTGTGAATTTTCTATTGCAGCTGGTGATTTTTTGCTAGGCTTTGGCCGTCCAGGGCAAAGGAAGGAAGAGCTTTTGGAAGTGCCAATCCCCGACCCACTTGAGGAACCAAACCGGGGTGGAAGTGTCTGAGATCTGGATATTAAACCGAATTTTAAACTGGCCGAGCCAAATCGCTTCAACTCTGTGCTTCTTGAAGTTGAAGCACTCGTCGGTCGAGTCCCAGGCACAATCACTTGAGTCATGCTGCTTTGAATGATTCCGGGTTTCGGTTCCTTTGAATGTGGACTTTGTTTGAGTTTGAGCCATCGTAACACTAATTTTGGTGCAAATGACTTCAATCCCCATACTCCTGTTGAATGAGTCACGGATGCTGACGATTCCATCGGTGATCCGTCCAGCGCTGTGTCTGTTACCCGCTCTCTTTGTTCTGTTGAATCAAGTAGTTCCGGCGGGCCATCGTATTCTTCCAATGGTCTTGATAGTGTAATAATCATGGTAGATTTTGGACGAGGTGAGTGTGTTCCACGTGACTGACACCATAACACTAGTCGATCAATCCAGCGCTGCATCACCTCCTTATTGGGAGCCTGGAGAATGAAAAGGATGAATGATTTTCAGTCGTAATGGATCGAAATTTGGTAATTCGTTTATGGATTTCTTATTTGATTGCAAACTACCATATTATTGTTCACATTATCAGCAATTTTTAGAGGTTATATAAACCAATCGATCACAACATATGCCTCTGATTATATTGATCTTTTTGGCCTCAGCTATTTGTATCGACCGATTATTACAACCGCTTCTGTTTACGAACAGAAGATTCCATTAAAAACCGTTCGATAAATCCAAATATTCTCTGAGCAATTCGAGGTTTGGAAACCTGCCACTGTGATGTCTGTCTGTAAGCACTTTTTTGTAAAAACCATGGAGATCATGAGTGAGTAGATCGCTTGCTATTGATGAGATGTCTATCCACGTGATACGTCTTCACTGGACAGAACCGGGATCACGTGATTTCGTGACTTGGTTAGGATGTGAGCTTTTTGTGTGCTTGTTGGTCTGCATTGCTTAAATCGATCCTTTTATCGGATTGCCAGCGCAACGATCGTATAGGCAGCGTGTAATCCAATAACAAGACCGAGGATTCAACTAATGAGCACATAAGATGTGGTCCAAGAAATGATTTCAAAAGTTATTAAACTTACTTGAAATAAGTACGATGCTCCAGTATTCGAATTCAAAATTCGAAAAACATGAGGACGTTTCGTGTAGCCCGTAGCGACTGAAACGGTCAATAGATTTCTGCCTAAATCTAAGCCGAGTTCGTTGTGGAATGTATGAGCCAACGGGCTTTAATCAGCACACGAATGTGAAAAGGGGTAGATAATATTGCAGACTTTAGACATCGACAAATTGGATATCATAATAAATAAAGCAACAGTTGTACAAATTAAAAATTTCATCCTTTTTCCCTGTATAATGGGCTTTTTATTCTGTAAAGAGCAATATTTTGTCATGTCACGTGATGGAACGTGAACGGTAAATAATCAGCCAGATTAACCTTGAGCTATTTTGCGTGATGCTCGTGGAGTGCTTCAGTTTGGATAGACAGCCACGGTGGCACACCAGCATGCCACAGTGCTCGACCTGCAATCGTAAAGCTCACACAAAATGTGTCTTTATTACCACGGCTCAGTGATTCGTGTAGGTGAAGCACGGAGATAGTGTTGATGGAGGTGACTTCGAATATGAGATGTGAATATAAGTTAGGACATGGTGCATATGCACCGCAGTTGATGATCCTGAAAAAGTGAAATGAAATAGCTGTACTCTCATTGTTTCTATTTTTTCATTTTTCGGATGGGCTTTTAGACCCTTTTCCGTAGCCGCCCAGTAGCTCTACTGAATTCGAAAAGTCTTGGTTTATTGGTGCAAAACATCATTTTATACACACGATATATAGCTATTGTAAACAAAACCATGCATGAAAGTCCACTGATAATCCTAAACGGCCCGTCTGTCTAATGGAACTGTGATAGTTGATTCAGCTCTGGCCAGTGCAGAGCTAAGACAGCTGCTAATTGGTTGATTGCTCCACTTGGTTGGCCTCACTCGTCTGCGGCTTTGGACAGCCGATCATGTGCTGTCTACTTCGCAGCCTCCGACACAGCCCTGGAATCTGGACTGGCGAAAGCGTGCTGCCTGCCACTGAACCAGGCCGTCTAATGGCTGTGTGTCAGCCCATACCCACATGGACACCGTGGTGAATTATTTTATGACCTATAACGTGTACTACGGAAGCCCTAACAAGAATTACTGTCTATAGTTTCCAGCTGAGACGCCTCTCCTGGGAATGGAACTTAGTTGTCAACCGAAACAAGATATGTTGGTGCACTGGACACTGAGTCATCATCGAAGTGATAATAGATAAAAGCTTTAGTATACAAACTCACGCACATGGATGAAATCAGATCATGTGACTCAATAATGAGACAGCAAACTGGCGATCTGAACAATTTTGCTATCACATTTGATCACCTTGAAATCATCCACTTGATAATTATCAAATGATTTGTCATGCATTAGCAAACTCAGCTCACCACTGTGAACCATGGAAGTACAACCGCACATCTGTTCTATCTATCTTGTTAGGAATCTTCAGAGGTGCATATCCACCGAGCCCCACTGGAACTCCAACCCCAAGGGTAAACAACTACGAGTCGAACACCCAACCACCAGGATATCTGGGCTGGATCTCAACAATTTGTTTGCCACCACAACTACATTGTGTGCAGTTCTTCCATCACTGACATTTAAACGGTAACAAACCGCTGCTTTTAGAGCAATCGACTCTCATGATGGAGGAGTTCTCTGTGAGAATCCTGAGTGACTACAAATCAATACACTACAACCTACAGAGCATGATTGCTCAATCCTTATGAGTAGAGGGAGAACAGAACTCATTGAATTATTTGTCATGCAGTAACAACGTACAGCTCACCGATGGGGCTTGTGGATGAACACCGCTGATGTTTTCGAACAAAGTAAATGAAATTATTGTAGAGATGTACTTCCAAGGCTTTCAATGGGAATCACTTGATAATCCATCCAAACATCCCACAACTCCAAATAACCGGCTTGGCTATTGCTTGACTAGGAGCTTCTCAATTTCCCTTTTGCGGACTACCAGCAGTGTCTGAATGTTACAGCTCTTTGTTTGCTGGCTCACACGTGTCAGGTGCTAACGCGTTCATATCATCGATCAATTTTGGTCGCCAATAGTACTCTGTTATCACGTGATTCACTTCCTCCTACAGTACCGTGAGGCTTCGTACCGATTCGTACTCAGAATCTCGAAATCACAATAACCGATTATTCCTGATAGTTTGTTGAACTCACCTCAAATATGGGCATGAAAAAATGCAATGAGAAAATGAAAGAAAAAGCTGTATTTACTCTTGCTTATTATAATCCGACTTGGTCCGATAGAACAGCAGTTGTTGTGTATTGGCCTCGATAAGCACATACAGTTCGTACCACGTCCGATCACGTGCCCTCACCAAGTGTGTCGCAAACTCGTGCTTTCGAGACAACAGATCACCCATGTTCTCTGATCGAATAGAAGGCAAATGAAAGCCATCAGAGCGATTGATTATTCGGCTGGTGAATCTTCAAATATATTGTGTGTTCAATAGATTCGTCCAAATCCAATGGTAGTTCATATCCAAAACGCTGTAGTCATCGACGGTAAGGCATTTTGAAATTTGCTTACTGTATATAGTTTGAGCTTCAGGGCCCAATTACGGTATATCAAAGCATTAAAATTATCTGAATTCATTGATATTTTCCTTTTATTTAACTTGATTTCTCACTGCGTTATGGGCAATTGAAAGCATATGACCTCAGAATTACCAGGGTATGGAAACATAACTAGTTCGGTAAACAAGACCACGTGAATTCTCCTCGTTTACATTTAGGAAGATTTTCTACTGAATGTCTCGTTGGAAGCTGTTATTTAGTCAATATGGCTTTTATATTTATGCTCACATAAGGCGAGAAATTCTTTCGAAGTTGAGGGATTTCACGTTATATGTGGCTCATTTATTTTTCTGGACGATAACGGTCTAACTTACCAAAGAGGGTAATTCCAGTCTGCACCAAAGTGAACCTTGAAGACCCGGTCATTCGGTCGTATTATACGTTTATATTGCTTTCGCGAAAATGAGAAAAAGAGCTGCTAAGATGAAGTTTTCCGGCACCTCAGTAAAGATAGCGAAAGTCAAGTTGCGAGCTAGGATTTTCTCTCATGGACTTGAAGTAAGTGAGAGCACAATTTATCGGATATTTCATAAAAGACATCCACGAGAACACATTGGGGGGGGGGGACAGAAGACCCATCACAGCAAAGAATGAAGTAGCAGTGCACACAAAATCAGTGTCACAAACTCCCACAATCCTGCGAAAGGATGTTCTCATGCATTCACACTCTCTGTTGAAGAGAAGGATACAGCAACTTGAAATGTGGCTAATACCGGCTGACGTTCGATAAGTGAAGGCACGTTTTGGTTTTGCGGGTTTGGAAATTTTTCGTAATGATGCGAATGTTAAAAGTCGTCGACCCCGGTGGGATTTAAACCCAAGCATGTTTGCCTGATTTGAACTACACTGTTCTCAGTCGGGGATACAAACAGCTAGGTGAAATTTGTTTGCTCATTCCTCAGCACATATCAACCCTTCTGTTCTACGGTGCAAACCCGAACATTTGAGTCACAGGTCCCTTGTTATCAGCAATATATATATATATATATATATATATATATATATATATATATTCAGAAAGACTGTCATTGCTTCACATTAAACAGTTGCGTCGTGAAAAAGGACGTTCATACAAAGCTGAAAATTACGCCCTAGTCCAGATTCTATCCAGGCCAATAGAGGTCGAGCTACACAAACTGAATGGCATGTGTGTCCGGACATTCCTGATATATCATAGTAGTCGTGATACTTGGAGAGTTCTCACACCGCTCATCGGTAAACCTAAAGAAACTTCCACTAGCGGTTGATGTTGAATAACTCAGTCGGAACTTCATCAGTGACAAGCACATGGCATCATCTTCGACTTTCGATGCTAAAAGCCGTTTTGTACCCAACAGTCATTTCTTTAATCTCCTCAAAGTATAAAAGTAATCGTCTCAGCTTCGGCCTAATAACCCGTGTGGCCCTGATAGACTGCCGCCCAAGCTGGGTGATATGCAGTTGTACGAATATGTTGAAATCCAACGACGGAAGGAAAATCACGGAAAAGTTTGAATTGAAATTGTGCACCTCCGTCTATGGTGATCCTAGGTAAACCGCCAAACACAGAAATCCAGTGGTGTGAAAACATTTTTGGAATTGTTTCATTGGAGACGCCTCCTATAGGGACAGCTATGAGCCAAAGCGTAAAACGATCCACACATGTGAGGAGAAAATGGTATCTGTCGACCGATGGTAAGGCACCAACAAAATCTAAGTGGACACGAGAAAAAGCGCATTGCTTGTGGGTATTTGGACGGAAGAGGAAAGTACAAGCCGACGAAAAAATGCACCGTTTTCATGGTATGCCTGCTCTACACCAAAAACGAAGTCTCTATTCACATTCTGCCAAAAATAATGATCAGAAACAAGTCTAACGAAGACGCGCATTCCTGAATGGGATATGGAATGTGGACGCCTAAACATCAAGCAATGAAGGGAACAGGGAACAAACGGGCAGGCTTACCAGTGGAGACATCGCAAACATATGTACCATTTCTGTCAGGTAGGGGTAAATCATTCAACATCAGAAAGGACAATGAGTGGCAGCTATGTAGTTCTTGTTCATTCTTTTGAACCTATGCTATCACGGACGGACTGAATGACACTGGGTCGGTTCCTCGAAGGATGCCTGGGCGAAAGAGTGCTTCAGCCACGAAGTTGCTGGATCACTATATTTACCTTATATCCGTGATATATTTGGAAATGTAGTCAGGGTGTCTAGTTTCCCTGGGCGAATAAAGGTCGCCGCTTGAAGCTGATGCATAAGTCAAAAGCTTATAATCAGTGTAGATAACGAAGCTTTTGCCTTCCAAAATGTGTCTAAAGCATTTTATTGTAAGGTCGATCGCAAGCAATTCACGGCCAAAGTTGTTGTAACGAGTCTGTGGTGGTTGCAGCTTTTGAGAGAAAAATGACAACGGATGTCTGACCCCATTAGCAATCTGTAGCGATTGGCCGCCAAAGGCTATTTGGGAGACATCTGTCCACTATACAAGAATAGCGCTGTCAACATTGTTTAATTATGCGGGCGAGGGTACTTTGGACAAAACTTGCTTATCCCCTTGGAAGGCTGATTTAACTTCAGGAGTCATCGAAAACGTGCACAGCCCTTTCTTTAAAAGCTCAGTAGGTGGTTGCAAGATCACAGGACAATTTGGTATGAATGGACAATAGTAGTTTACAATGCGCTGGAAACGAAGAAGACTCATGAACGATTGGGGTTCCGGATAGTCCTAGATAACATTCATCCATACTAGCAACGAAGACGTTGTCACTATAAACGAAAGCAAAATCCAGACCACGGAGAACTTAACCCATAAGTAGCTGGAATGTTTGAGTGCAGTTGCGCAAGTTAAAATGCATACGCAAGAATTCGTACAACCCAAATGGTGTCGTGAAAGCAGTTTTCGGAACGCCCTGAGACGCGTTGGGAATACCGTAATGCGGTCTTACCTAATCCAGTTTGGAGAAAATGCTTTTGCCACACGCACTGTCGAAGAAGTGGTGAATGTGTGAAATTGAGTAACGGTCGGGCACCGTTGCGTTTTTAAGAGCGCGGTGATCACTTCACGGGCACCAGTCACGGTTGTGCTCTGGAACCACATGGAGTGGGGAGGCCCAAAGATTGCTTGATAGGTGAATTAAACCCAAGCTTAGCATATGTTCGAATTCTGCTTCTGCTACAGACAGGCGCTCAAGTAATAACTGGCGAAGACGCGCTGCGGCTGGTGGACCTTTGTTGACAATGTGATGTTGGACGCAGTGTGGTGCTTGTGAAGGTGATGTATTGTGGTTGGATGACTGCCGGAAAATCGTCCAAAATGGAGGAAAACGGGGGGCGTACTGTCGTGGGGCCTATTATGAGATGGATCGTGGAGACACCCGTTCCGTATGTTTTACCAGACGCTTTGCTGTTCAAAAGAACACAGTGGTTCATATCAACCACGAGTGAAAAGTTAGAAAGTAAATCAACTTCGAGAACAGAGTGATTAACGTCGGCAATCGTGAAAATCCCTGGGGACTGTCGGCGTAAACAAAGGTCAAGTGTCACTAGCTTTTGACCGTATATCTTTATTGCGGTAACCATTGTGAGCCGGTGACTGAATGGTCAGTTCATTCACCCTTCGGATGAGACAAAACATCTTGGGTGCCCAGTTCACCTCTCCGCCACGGATGCAGGTGAGTATACCGTTGTGCACCTCATGCGCCACCCGTGGTTGGTTTGGAATCAGAGTCTAACCATCTTCCCTAGGCCGACTCTCTTAGTCAACCGACCCGGTGGAAAGCGCTGGGCATTCGTTTTCGCCATCTCAATTTAGTGGGAATACCTCCACCACGAGAAGCCAGTGAGTAGGACTTCCTCAGCAGAGGCTGTGACAAACGCACGGCCATTTGGGAGCATTCTAAAAGGTGTTCAGGGCAAGTAGCTAATTTGGACCCTGCGACACTCACTCCCGACCATATATATACATATATATATATATATATATATATATATATATATATATATATATATATATATATATATATATATATATATATATATCATCCAAAGGGCGAATGAACTGACCATTCAGTCGCCGGCTCACAAGGGCTTCGAGAACAGGCTAATGAACCATACAATGGGCCATTCGCTCATATGGACCAACCGTACTGTCTTGCAGGAAGTGCTTGGTTGCGCAAAGGCTAAAGGTGCATCCTTGAATAAAAATGTCTATTCTGAACTGGGCGACCGAGTAGTACAATAGCTCAAAACGCAAATAACCATGAGAGGCTCTACCACTGTGATTAACTTCTCTCTCTTGTGCACGAAAAAACACTGTCGTACGCCGTACTAAACTTGTTCTCCTATTTCCACCCCGTTCAACTTTCTGTTCCATTCTCACACCCCACGAGTTCCTCGGTTTACCGTGCCTGCAGTAGTGCTACTGATGGAAATTCTGGCTATATTCTCTCTTCTCCGTCTTCGACTAGCTTCCGAGTCTCACCGAACCCGCTACCACCGGCTGATGTTCTGCTTCGTCTTCAATGCTCATTCAAACTAGCCAAATTCACATGTAAACCCTGATGGGTATAAGACAACTGGTGCGTTTGGATGGTACGCTTGAATCCCATGCCATCAATGTGTGTTGCTTTTAAGAAACTCGCATTTGTAACTCCAGGTTCATCATTTGGCTGATGCCTCCATGCAATTCTTCCGTGAAGTTTCACTTAAGCCTTTATGGGGACCCTGAGGCTGCGGCTTCTGGTCTTGCTGACGTTGGCATTGTTCTCAGTGAAGGGGCTCAAGTGGCGCTGCTAAATTGAATC